GGGGGGCTGTTTGCTCTGGTTAGTAGAAACTGAGGAAAAAGAAATGAGTATGCTCTAGACATGGAAGCTCCTGGTACTGTCCCAGCGTAATTCCCTCTCTTCGTGTAGCTTTAGTCCCATTTGTTTGTGCATTTCAGTCCCATCTAATGCTGCTAATTAGTCCCAGCTAGTGCTGCTCCAGCAATTTTCCTCTTGGAAAACAAAGTCAACCTCTGAAATGAAGTCTTATTTTTTAACTTTGATGCTGAAATTTCATCTTCCTTTAAAACCAAAGATCAAAAGGCCATCACAATTAAAAAAGAAAACCAAACTTCTGATTGGAACCACTGCATTTTTATTTTGTACTATAAATAGAATTTCCCTCTATTTCCCATTCCCTTACACAAGTAAATGAAACGTGTAGCTGCATGTAACTCTATTCAGTAAAATACCAGCACAAATGGCTTTTAACCATGAGGTAAGCTAACTGTGTTTAGAAGGCACTCTGCATTTAGTTACAGTTGCATGCTTTACGCTAGCATCTTGCTTGGCCATATTGCCATCTCCACATATTTTTTGGTGAACCCTACAATACATGAATGCTCCTCCTGAATCTAGGAATGACACCATCATATTACTGTGCTTTGCCTCACTCTTCCCCAGCAGCATAGGCACGTAGGTGAACAAAATGATGGTGTTTAGATATTAACGTGGTGATACTGAATTAAGATGTATATTACGCCTTTTGTCTACAGAGCTGGTTTTCTCAGAGGAAGATGCCATCATTTAGTCATCTGTCCACAATGAAACTATCTGGCTTAACAACTTGCAGGTGACATAACCAGCTTCTGCTGGCCATTTTGGAGTCATCTTGACCTTCAGTCTCCCTAATGTCTGCTGTATACAACTTTCTTTGTGAATATACGCTGAAGAAAGTGCAGGCTCTGCTGAGTTTTCGGACTTGGATACTTCACTGGTTTAAGGCTTTTTGTCTTGTTTTTTGTTAGGTTGCGTGACTAGGTAAGACTGAAGAAGGGGATAAAGTTTTAATGTAGTCTTGATGAGTGTGTTTTCCACTCTTGGTGGTGCTTTTCTGCAATGTATCACAGCAAGCAGTGTGGCTTCATAGCATGCTTGTGATGGCTGGGGCAGTGGCTCTAGCATTTTGGAAGATGCAAGGAGGGCAAGGATTTGCAATGATCTTAGTCTAACAAGTGTTGCAGCTCTGACTAGCTGCTTTTAAGAAAAGTTTCTAAAGTGGAGGGAGCGCTGTGTAATTACTTCCGGACACCAAGACTGCCAGCTCCTGGATCGACATCTCCTTGTTGAGGTAACTGTCATATTGAGCCATGGTTAGCCTTCCACTCTTCAAGGCATCCTCAATTGAGAACTCTCTACCAGACTTCCTGTCGAGGATCACAGATGATTCCCCATTGGGACCCTTTATTGAGATCTCTTCCCAATCACATTCCTGACTCTTCAGTTTGACAAACAGGCTCCATTCAATGAGGCCAAGCCTATGAGCTTCCTCTGGAGACATCTCCTTGCCTGTATCGGGGTCAATGACCACAATAGAGCGCCTCAGGTGGTTCTCTCTTTGTTCCCTCTTGATAGCCACTGTCTTGAGGCGATTCTGGAGTTGCTCAATCTCTGTGTCCTTTTCTCTGGATAACTGCTTCAGATCATCTAACTCCCTTTCCAGAGCTTGGAATCTGGAGTCCAGGTTTATTCCACTGTCCACGTGGGTCATGTTTCTCAGATCCCGAGCTTCTGTTGCTGTGAGTTCAATCTCTGACTGCAGCCTCCTTGTTTCCATCAGCAGGTTCTGTTTTTCAAGGTGTAGTCTGTGGTTTTCTTCTCTTAATAAGTCCAACTCCTTTGATGACTTGGAGTTGTTGAATTCCACCTCAGACAATCTGGTTTCAAGCCGATTGATATCTGCATCCAGCTCCCTCTTACGCCTACTCTCCTCCTCCAGATTGCTCTTCAGCTTTTGAATCTCATACTCTGTGTCTCCTTTGTCCACTTGGATGCTCTCTGAAAAGACAACTTTCTCTTTCACCTCCATCTTCTCCAAAGAAAGAAGCTTCTTTCTCAGGGCTTCCAGTTCAGTTTGCAAGACTTGCCTCCGGTGCTTCTCCTCTTCCAGCTCCAGCTTGAGAAGGGAGTGTTCCTTCTCTTGCTGGGGATCTTGCTGCAGGATCACTTTCTGCTTCACAGTCACCCTTTCTGTTGTTTCCCTCTCCTGTTCTTCTAACTCATTTAATCTAATCTTCAGCCTCTGCACCTCCAGTTCAGCCTCTCTGCGTGCCTGTCTCTCTTTCTCAAGTTCTTCCAGCTGACGTTCTAACTCAGATCGCCTCCTCTGCAGCTTGCGGAGTTCTTCACGGAGGCAATCAATTTGCTTCAGTTCGCTCTCAATGCTCTGAGAGAAGGAGTTGACTTCAGCTTTCAAGGCAGGATCTTGCTCATACTTCACTACTTCCTGTTGGACCACCTTCTCCTTCACCTGGGAAAGTTCTTCCTCCTTCTGTCTAATTTTCTCTTCTTGGAGTAGCCGCTCCCTCTCTAGGTCAACGTGTTTCATCTGTTCCTCTGCGAGGTGAATTCTCAGTGACTCCACCTCCTCTCTAGTCTTGGGATCTTCCCGAAACTGCAGAATTTCTTGAACAACTTCCTTCATGTGCACTTGAGGCTTGGTATCTTTCAAGGCTTGTATCTCTTGTTTCAGCTGGTAGATCTCCAGGTCAGCTCTTTCAATTGCTCCTGTCCTGTCTATGATTTCCTCCCGAAGTCGCTGTAGCTCCTTTTCAGTTTCCGGATCATTCTTGTACTTAATGACCTCCTTAATGACTTCTTTGACTTCCACCAGTGGCCCTCTGTTCTTCAGAGCAGCCAGCTCAGTCTGGCAGCTCTTC